TTATTATAGCTCTCGCAAAAAAAAAGTTATGAAGCTATTAATTATAATTCAATTTTCTTAATAGCAAATAAATAAGCTATCTTTTTTATTTACACATAAAAATGCAGTTAATCAGTAATTTTTTATTATTCAATTAACAACTGATTTAAATAAAATATATTAAATATAAATAAATAAATATTAATATAATTTTTATTGTATATACTATAAAATTTAAATACATATTCAAGTTTTGATCTAAATATATATATATGTATGCATAAAATATGTATTTTACAAAATCATTTTTCATTAATATATTTTTTCATCGCTTTTATTAATATTCATTTTTTCTCCACAAAAATATCAAAGTAATTAATAAGATTCAAATTAATTAAAATAATTAAAGATAGATGTTTCTAAATAAACAAAATAAATATTGAAAGAGGAAATAGATGATTATAAAGTCAAATTTTTCAATTAGTTTGGATTAAATTTGACTAAAAAATTTGAGAGCTTTAGGTGTAAAAATAATATTTACTTTTGCATTCTGACTCTAATTGATCTTTCTCATTCTATTGAAATAACATTGAATGTTAATTGTAAAAATAATCTTTAAAAATCGAAAGTTTAATTAATATTAATCTATCTGTATCATCAAATTGTAAAATTTGCAAATATTGTCATTTATATTTTAAAAGTAATTGGAAGTCCTTTTCTCTAGTACAGCTTTGTATAAAGTGCCTACGAGAATGCCTATATGTACAGCAACAGTAAGAGAGAATCGGATACACAAACTCGGCACGAAGCACCCGCATGGTCTCATATGTGCGTGGCTAGCATTATATCGCAGAACAATCGATACATACCGTCAGCACACGATAGAGCTCGAATTCCCGGCCCCTGTTGGCCAAACTAAGCCAACCGACCCTGCACTACCACCGTTCGACGACCACAAACTGCCTAGTTCTCCAACATTCGCGTGTCACTTTGCATATCTTACAAGACGACGACCACAATCTCAAAACCGTTTGAGCCACCTGTTCTTTTATATATCGTAGGACAATCCGCGAAAATATCTTGATCTCTACTTTTAAAGATTCCTCCATTCAGATTCCCTTTTATACGTTATACGTAATTTATGTAATTCTAAAATATTTCTAAAATCGCTCATATAGCTTTGCTATACCGTAAACTTTAACGAATTTTAACAATCAAATCGGAGCGATGATTACATCATGCCATATATTCAATATCGTTAACACCCACGTGTTATTAACACGTAGCGTGTTCAGTGCAATTGTCGAGAGAGCATTTTCTCGGTTACGGAACTTTTATCCATTACGATGCTCCGTGCAGTATTTTCAGTCAAACACGACGGCCGCATCGTAACCCGGAGATGTCGCGAAGAAAGCGTCGTTCCATAGGCAGCGTTTGGGAAGGTGCTAGAGGATGGTGGTGGTCCGTCAGTCGGGCGAATGGGCGTAGGTGTTCGCTGGTGGTAGTAAAGTAGTGGAGGAAACGGGTAGGAACCGTCCGCGGGAAAAAGGAGAAAAGGGAGTGAATTTTTTATCGGTAAAAACTCCATTAGAGAGAGAGAAGCGACGGTGTTTGTTATTGGTCATCCTCGGGGAGAAGATGGAAAGGGTAGGGTAGAGGGCCTTGTCCGGCGCAGAGATATCCATCGATCCGTAGGACGGTAGATCCGCCACCATCCTCAATTCTACCCCCTTCTTACATTCTATATCCTAGGGAGGATCCTCCTCCCTTTACCCACTGTCGGCTTCTATGATGGTGAAACGGAGAAAGAAGAAGAGACGGAGAGAGAGAGAGAGAGAGAGAGAGAGAGAGAGAGAGAGAGAGAGTGTGAGAAAGGGAGAGAAGCGTTTCGTCCCTTCCTACGGGGAGCTCTACGTACGTACGCAGGCAAGCATCTACAATGTTCCTTTGGCGCGGGTGGTATCAAAGAAATCAATTACCCAGCAACACACACGCGAGTCCTGCAGCCGATCTCCACACGGTCCACCCAACCTAGCTCTCGTTCTCCGCTCTTCCCCACTACGAAGGCAGTACCGAGCACTCACGCCCTCTCTCCAGGCGTCCATCTTTTCTGGAGTGCCACCCCCTGCGTCTCACATATTTATTTTATACTGCCCGCACCTTGTACGACCATTCCACGGCCCCGGGATGGAATTCTTTATCAAGCCGCTCTACCAACGTAGAACCTCCGTCTATCGTTTCGACCGTGCGCGCTCTCGATTGAATCGAGGCGATATTGAATTGTCGAGCGCGTTTATTTTCGCGAAAGCTATGCACTAGCGTTTTGATTCTTCCACGCGATTCAATCGTGATTTACGCAACATAAACCGCCCGCGGTTTAAAGTTACTTATCATTAAATTGATGACAAAAAATATGTTATATAATTTGGCAGTAACCAAATATACACAAAATGTATTCTTTTCTTTGATTCAATTGTAAGTCCAAACATCACGGATGCATATGCATCGAAAGTGATATACTTGAGATCGATATCCGTTTATCAAATTGCGTGTCTAAAGCCGAATCTCATGGCAATACATGGTATTAGTCTAAACTAAAAATGGTCCTTCGCAGTAGCGTCGCCTTCGAGAGACAGGCTCGGAATCAAATGGATTGCGAATGGACGGAGAACAGTGAGATCTAGGAGCGAACGAGAGGAGACAATGGTAATGGTATAAGAGGAGAAAAAGAGAGAAAGAAACCAGAAGAGAGAGAGAGAGAGAGAGAGAGAGAGATAGAGAGAAAGAGAAAGAGAGAGGAAGAGGAGATGGGATAGACAACAAAAAAGAGAAGGAAGAGGGGAACGGAGAAAAACAGAGCCTCAATGTGGCGTGGGAGGATAGAGGACGGCCGTCGGAATAGCCTCAACTGGACAGCACGTGGACGACTGGACTACCTACTTTTATATCGCTCGGGAAATAATGGGATTCCCATCATGAAGTGGATTTCCCTTGGGAGCCAGTGGACATCGATGCACCCGTCAAGAGATCCAACACCATCCGACGCCCGTATCCTCTATCGGTCTCCCGCACCCCCGACGTTCATCATTCGTGCCCTCCCGTACTCATTCACCTGTTCGGAGCTCGCGTCGCCCCGCGTTACACTTCGTTGCGTTAGAAAAATGACCGGAGCTAAGTTCGAAGGATCGTATTGGTATCTTGCAATTAATTTAACCGCGCGATCACAAATTTCTCGTATAATAAATTCTCTTTCTTATTCCTGACTTATACGTGTATCATTGCTGAAATTTCAAAATGCTGACGAATCGAAGAAACCTACTTAATGAAAAAGTGCAAGTTCCCTAAATATTTTCTAAACAAATCATTCGCAGCGTTCGCTTTAATTCGGGATTCGATTTACTCGTATAGTAAGACCGTTAATAAATCCTTAAATTATAATTAATTTTAAGTTTTGCTGATAATAATTGCATAGATTCTATAAATTTTATATAGCAATCTGTTAAATTATATATTTTTTAAGTTTTAATTATTAATACATGTTTTTTCAATTATTATTTTTAAATATCTTACAAAGAAATATATCCTTTTTGATTTTAATAATTTAAGCTTTGGTCAGTATATAATTTTTTTATTTATATAAAATATAAATTCGCGCAGTACAGATAAAAAATAAGAGCTCGTATTATTGTGCTTTTATGTACATTAATAAAATATCCCTTTGAAAAAGTTGCCCTTAATTTTAAAATATATGTATCGTTAAAATGGTAAGAGATAAAAAAATATATTAAATAAAAGTTTTTTTTCAAAGGCTTCATAACGATGTAGTCATACCTAACCAGAAATAATTAGACGAATCGACGTCGATGAAGCAGTGCAATTGACGTTGATTGACATCGATTCGATTAATTATTTTTAGCTGGATATTTTACTAAAATGTTATATTTTTAAAAACATCTTCACTATTTACTTCACTATTTACTTATCGATTCTGATGATTTAAAAAAAATTTATTATAAGATTAAAATTTGCTTGAAAACAAAATCACTTGTATATAAAAATTAAATAATAAAGTACATATGTGCATTCGTATTTGTATAATATATATTTTACGATTTTTTGAAGTTTATACATTTGACATATCCATTAAAAGTTTACGATTAGAATACAAAATCGTTATTATCCACTAGAGCCATCTCACTGTGTGCTACTTATTTTCTCGAGAAATAATAATAACAATCGATAAAAAAGATTTGGGAGTTTTTCCCCAATCCAAAAAATCCCAATAAAAAAATTTATAAACCTCAATTTACGTTTGAGATGATTCTTTGGAGAAATCATGCAAATGAATTACTTTCGAAAGATTTTATATCGAATAAAAATAACTCACAATTAATGTTACTAATTGATGGTAACTAAATTTACTTTTATCTCTCGACAGTTTATCTCAATAGATAACTGTATTTCTGCCGTGTTACCCTCTACCCTAATTTAATTAACCATTTCTCTCAGGATTTCTAAAATGTTTTCCCAGAGGGCGCAGTTAAATTTTTCAAAAATGACAATTTTTCTAAAGTTATTTTTACCATAATAATTTCATTAAAAAAAAAAACAGAATAACTATCTATAAGCAATGAATCATCTCTTTTGAAAATAAAACGCAAAAAAAATTATAAAAAAAATAAAAATTCTTTATGACACAATTAAGCTCGATTTATTTAATGAATTCTAACCTGTAATCCAAAATTCAGAAAAAACAAAAGCAGTTAATTGTGACTCACTTGACTCACATTGTCGTCAAATACAGTCAGTGAAATTCTGCTAATAATTTAATCGCTAATAATGGTTTATAACAGCGTCGAATCGGTGCAAGAGACTCCGCGAAAGCTGCAGCTAGAAAGCGGGGCGATCTCTAGCTGCTTTACACATGTATACATACATACGAAAATGTGGATCGTATAATATTGCCAATTAGAATATGCTGACAGTGTAAAAAAAAGCGCATAATAATTGTTACAATATACCTGGAAACTGTTGCACCTTCAGAATGAAAGCGGCGTCGACGGTGAACGACGACGCAAAGACGAAGTGAAAGAAATGCGAGGATCAACACTATTCGGGAAATGGACTTGTGATATCGGCACTCATTGATCGATTTTACGCACTACGAGCCCGTTCAGTACCTTGCAAAGCACCCGTGCGATAACTTCTCGTCCGCATATTGCACTTTTAAATGATACGAATTGCAGTCCGAATCGCGAAAAATACGAACGACACGACCGGCGACACGACGCAGTCCCGATGCTGACCACAATACGAAATCTATCGAACGGTAGCGATCTTGCGATCCTCGAAGTGCCGGAACGGCGCGGCGTCGAGATATCGAACTGTGATCGTAAGCGATTATTTTTGTTAGGTTATGAGATAGTAGTGTTATAGGATAAAATGTTCAAACAAATTGTCCGACCGATCGGATCATACGGCTTCAATCAGATTTTACCGGGTAGATAGAAAAAGTTGTTTTTTCCCTTTTCTGTTTGAATATTAGAAAACATTAACTTAAAAAAAAGCAGTAACTTCGTCGTATATTATTAACCTCTATTTGACTACAACAACTTGATGTAATTTAAATATAACATTTAGCTATGTGTATAACGCATTGTAATTACACAACTGTAATTACATGTGTTATAATATTAATTTCTTTCTACAGGTACATCGAAAAAAGTCGCCGCGATACATCCCAATGTGATTCAACATCGGGACACTCAGGCGTTCAGTACGGTCGCAGCTACGAAAAAATGGGATTTGTACAGCGCTGTTTGTTTAGAACGTCATCCAGTTATAATACAGTCAATGCAAGAGATAGAGATGAAATTTCATAATGTGTTAAAGAAAATTGAATATGAAAATAGTTTCAAGTCTGATCATGAGTTGAGAAAAGAAAGAGAGAAGAAACAGAAAAAATCAGATAATATGGATGATGTGGATTTTGTGATACAAACTGCACAGGACTTCGAGGATAATTGTCAAGAGGAATTAAAGAATTTTAAATTTGCGCCGACAATTACGAGTATGCATTAATCTTCTCTCTATAATAGCATATATAAAATAAAATTTTATAAAAGAGCAGTATATATTTTTATAAAAAAATAGACCATGCAATATTAAATGTTTTCATAAGTCATGAAGGAAAGACTCATTTTATATATTATACAATTTAAATATACTTTTCTTGTCGTAAATGATTTATTTGTATGCATTCTTTTTAGAATTTGATGAACAAAATGTAACGTCGTCTTTAGAACGTAAATTAGACAAAAATTTGCTTTTATTAACACAACAAAAAGTGGGTGATTTACATTATTGGATACCTCCTCAAGGTATTCGGAAGGAAGGAGAGACTATGAGACAGGTATGTTTATAATTTTTATGTTCAAACTAATTTTAATGTGTAAACACTTTAGCTAAGGATGAAAAAATAATGTGCAAAAAATTATTAACTAATTCTTTCACAGACTGCAGAGAGAGTATTACAAGACACATGTGGCGCAAATATAAAAGCCAAATTTTATGGAAATGCACCTATTGGATTTTACAAATACAAGTATCCCAAAGAGTTTCGTGAGCAAGGAAATTATGGTGCTAAGATATTTTATTTCTTGGCAAAACATATAGATGGAGATATCACTAATGGTATAAAATATCAGTGGTTGGATCACGAAGAATTAAAGAAAGTGTTACCTGATAGAGTGCGAGAGAGTATTTTCCAATTCATGTTATTTACTTAGAAATATAAAATATAAAATATTTAAATTATTCTTTGTTGACACTTTTATTGTTATGATAGTGTCTATTATTATTAGCATCGTAATATCAATATTATAAAGGATTCCCTCTTTGAACGTACTCCCTTCACATAAACATTTATGCAGTCATTTATTAAATTTTATGTTCGTATAAATATTTTTTAACAAAAAAAATATTTTGAACAAATTACACAAAATATCTTTGTTATTAAAGAATATATTTTATATTCATATTATTTTCAAATATTAGATTGATCGGTATATAAATGGACAAGAATTAATCAAACTTTATGAAGTTTTTTACAATAATGTAAATTATTAAAAATAATATTTTATTAATAGTATTTTATAATAGTTAACGAAGTAGATCTTAGAATCGACCAGATCTCTTTCGTCCAGTATATTTGGAATCATCTCTAACTTCTCTTCCTTGTCGTCGCCGCCTTTCTTTCTTCTCTAAAATCCAATCTCTACTTTTCTTCAATGATTTACCTTTGGCTTTCTTTATGTATTCCCTATAAAATGTACAAAAAAATGATTCCTATTTTTGAAAGGTAAAAATTAATAAAATATTAAAAATGATTATAAATTACAAAATAATTAAGATAATAGATAACAAGAAAATCAAACCTTCTTGAGTTGGCAACAGTTTGTCTATCTTGGTTTTCCACACCTAGTGCCTTCGGAAGCGGAGCAGCTCCCCCGGTCATTAAAACTAAGAACATTTTCTTTGCTTTTGTGCTGTTTGGGAAATCAACGACCACACCACCAAAAAAACCAGCTTTTGTAGCTTGTGCTGTGATCAGTTCAACCTGTTCACTGTTCTCCGGATAGAATTGTAACACTGCTCTTGCGGTCCTTGACAAGCAGGCATACAGTGACGAGAAGAAACGATATAAACGTTTCGTAGGATTGTGTGAAGCTTTGCTTGCATAGCATAACCATTGAAGCGCAGAGATACTAACAGCTCCGTCAAACGAACCAGCTTTAAATGGCAATCCTTGACCTATATCTCCCAGGATCAAGTCACCATCTGTTTCTCTTTCAGCAGCTACCTCTACAAAATACATGTCAACATGATTTTATATAAATACACGTACATACTTGCTACATGTGCTGTAAAGAAAAATTCCTACAATATCGCTCTATCACTATAATTAAAATATTTACCAAGCATAGCTGAAGAGATGTCAACACCTATCCATACATGTCCCTGATCTTCCAATACGCCGCCGCTGAGGCCTGAACCGCAACCGATATCCAAAAGTAAGCAACTCTCATCTTCAGGTAGCGTAAGAAGTTCTATAGCACGTTCACACATCTTTTCTTGGATCTCTATCATACGAGAACTGCAAAAACATGGATTTCATTGCATTAATTTTATTACAATACTGTAGATTTAGGTAACATAATTTGTGTAAAAATTATATAGACTTACTTTTGGGTGTATTTCTTAGCTTCTGTTTCGTCATAGTACTGTCACAGGAAAAAAAATGGAATTAGCTATTGTCCCTTGATTTATTAATATATTATTACAATCTTATATTTTTAGATGTACAAACAATTGCAAAAATCAGGAAGTTGCAAAGTTTACAACTTACCACCTCAGGTGGTGCCATACGCTCTGGACGTTTAGACATTTTGACTAATGATATTTATCCGTCTTCTAATACAGTTTTTTTTTCTTTTATAACTGTTCTAAGCTGTTTCTTGTTCCATTAATGGATAAACGAAAATGAATTTAGCAAATAACCTGTGATACCCAAAATAACCACAATTATTAAGCATCAATATTATTAAACTTTGAATATTATTGTGCGATTTTCAGCTGAACACGTGCTAGCAATTCATTGATTTCTAATATGTTCGATAAATCAATACCATTTTTTTTCGAGCATGCCAAAAGTGTCTTTAAACGCACGTGTCCGACTCTCACAAACAGAATCTGGTAATTATTCAGTTTAGCCTTCATTACCTCCGATTTTGAAGAAATTGGGCTTAATCGATGCGTTTTTACATGAAACAAACAAATCCGGTAGAAAAAGTGTCACTCTGCCCCGCGAATCGAGATATTTATCATTAAATTTGACGAGTTCTCGAGGTTAGAAAATCTGTCACATACTGATGCGATGTGAGCATGCGCTACGGTCATATCGGAAGGATTCGAACCGGAAGGGAGCGTCACGTTTCCATTCACAGACCTCACAGTGGCCGATACTTAGAAATTTTCCACTGTTCAAGCGCTGTGAATGGCTATCAATCGGAACCGTTCTTTGCATTTGTATTTGCAATTACCTTTCAAATGCACGAAATTTTCTCTATTTTTTTTTCTACAATTATTTCATAGAATGTTAGTCAAATGCAAATAAAACAGGCCTAAAGTGTACTATACATAGCATTAAGAGAAATAAATCGATTTTATTTCTAATATATTTGCAACAAATTGTTTCTTAAGACAGGGAACTATATAAATTAATCGATTTTATATGATTCCGGATGAATAATGCTGGATAGGCCCTTACGAGCAAATATTATTATTATTTCGATCAAATTCCGATTAATTTAATCGATGATTAATTTAATGAATTGGCGCAATTACAGCAAAACTGATTTGTTACCCCTGATCTAATCTTTCTTTTCACATAAAAATATTAAATATTTGTTGTGTGGATATTAATAAGTTAATTATTGCTTAAGTTTGACCACTCTATGTGAACTGTACACCGGCATTACTCGACAAGTTGACTGCCGATTAAATTAATCATAATTCCCCAACTTTAATGAGCTCTAAATTTAAACGATTAATTTTCAATAGCATAATAGCTTATAATAAATTAAATATCTAATTATTTTTCGTCTCTATTTTTTTTTCACGTATAAAAATTTAATAAGTCTATATTCATAATAAAATACTATAAGAATGAACAAGTTATAATTAATCGACTTAATTGAAACCTGGCCAATGTAGATTAACTTTAATCTCAATTTAATTTATTCTTCATCTTTTTTTTAATTCTTACAATTAGAAAAAAATAAGAACAGATAAGATGTAAATTTAACAAAGATTAAAATTAATCTACATTGAAATACAAATAGAAATAGACATAGATTATTCAAAGTATGAGATGCCAATTTATAAAATTAAAATAGTAAATCAGAAAATTTCGAAAATAAATATGATACAAATTATATGTACTACTTTTTATATGATTAGAATAAGTCGAAATCAGAATTTACTTACAGCGATTTATGTAGTGACTTAAAAGAATAAGTCTTTGTATAAGAAAATAAAAAAAACTTGCTTTTTTAAATTCATTGTAGATAATGTAAATAATCCATAAGGCGTGTAAAATTCTCGAAACCAAAGAAATCGTTATTTTACGTTGTATAGTAATTGTTGACGAAGTCAAATTATATGATAAATACTTACGATACAAATAACTAATGTTTTCAGATATTTATTATGTTCCTAATTTATGAGCTTAATTCTCAGTGTCGTATAATCATACTACAAAATATATTCATCAAAATGCATCTGCGATTGTGCACTTCAAATATTCTTAAAAATAACGCATATTAACTTTCCCCATTTTGCATCAGTAAACCATTACAGAACTTTTCTTTTCGTAATTTTAAGTATAATTTTATATAATATAACATGCTTATTAAAATAATAGCAGTTTACTTAATTATGGTATTGATAATACAAGTATAAATAAAGGACATTCACGTTTATTTATTATTATTCAGCTTATACGTTCAGTCATAAATATTATTTATATGATGTATAAATACAATAGACACACAATGGTCCATTCCTTCAAGGTCCATTTATATAGTATTTACAGTATTTTTAAGAATTAGTTTTCGAAAATTCGAGATGATTTTGCATTAGCCGCGTTCAAATGCGTGAACAAGAGGAATTAATGTCAATGCAATCATAAATCAGTAGCTATAAAATGTATGTAAGCGCATACATGATTTACTCACTCAAATTTTCGAAAACTATAATTAACACTTTTGCAAATTTACGATTAATGACGACAATAGAGTATGATATCGTAATATTTTTAATAATTTTGTAAAGACACGATACAAAAGTTCTCACAAGGCAGATAACATTTCAATTTAATATTCGGCATTGATTAGTGCACGGAAACTTATGAATATGCGATAAAGAATATTTGCAAAGAATTTTACTGATAAATGTAAAAAAGATCTAAGAACTGAATCATCTTCTATTATCAATAAGAATGTAAAAGTATAAAAAAGAAAAAGAGAAAATATACATATATTTATTGTAGCCTACGCGAAAGGCAGGAGTTTAGAGAGGTAATCGATTTACAAAACTTCGATTTTGAATCAGGAAATCTGGTCTTTATTTCCAAAAATATGTCGCCCACATCTGGACTGTCCAAAACTGCCTGCAAATACAAATAAAAGAAAATTGTGAGAACTTTTTCGGCATATAACCGCAAAACCTATTCCCAACGCGGGAGCACTTCAGAATTTGAGAATCTCACTCGTAACACAGTTTGTCCATTCAGGGTTTTCATTGCGAAATTGGATAAAATTTTATAAAAAAGACAATAAAGACTTGTAATAACAAAGACCACATTTTCTTAAAAGGTCAAATACTTTATTTAATAATAATAAAGGTGTGTGCGCCTGGGATTTAGGATATACAAAAATTCATATCGTCTAAGCTTGAAATATACGTCTTCTTCGGCAACGCTTGTGATTAAAGTACCCCCTCCAATACCCAACTAAACCTCTGCCTAGACAAACAAGTTGTAATCGCGGCGATAGAAGCATAAAATACGGACTATTAAACACAACAGATTTAATCATCCAATTAGAAATATCTTGGGAAAAAATAAGCGGAACAAGAAGTTTTAAAAAACAGCACTTGAAGATTTCTATAATGGCCATTGGATTTGCGACAGAGTAAGAATATGAACGCATTCTGGGCAATATAAAACTTGTTGTGATAATAGAAATAAAATATAATCGAATTGCGCCGAGCTGCGCTTTTAGTATTTCTTTTCTAATTCTATTTATCACTCTGTGGCGTGATATTTTAGTTAATAGCGCTATATTATTGTTAAAAATTAAAATAAAATATCGATATAGCAATCAATACCAGTAATACCAATGATAGTAATATTTATAGTAATATTAATAGCGGTAACGATAAGAATAATAGAGAGTAGTAGCAGCAGCAGCGGCAATCAGTAGCGGCAACAGTAGTGATAATTACACTAATAGTAATAATAGTCGTACTACTATCTCCTGCAGCGCAACAGATAACTATTTTCGTAACCTACTATTATAAATCGAAACGAATATGAAAACGTTGGAATATTTTGGTTTAGATCGCGTTTACATAAGCGATATAGTTCACCAACTCACTTAATATATATACTCACACACCATGAGAGATCGATCAGCTGAGAGCTTCTGTCACTTACTTTTTATTATTTTTTTATTATAATGGATTATAGCCAATAGTCGGACTTAGATCAGATCAGCGACATTCATTGGCATCTCATCGATGTGAGTGTTATAGAACTGCTCGATATCTTTTAAGGTTCGTTTATCTTCTTCTGTCACAAAGTTAATGGCCACACCTTTACGGCCAAAACGACCGCCACGACCAATTCTGTAAACAATAAAATAACAAAGGTATAAGTATGTATATAAATTTTTAGAATATATTTTTAGAAATATTTAAATTTTAATTCAAAAATTTTTTTATGTATATGTAACAGAAAAACTGAATGCAAATTATATGTGTATTTGTGATAAATTTTAATATTTTAATGTATATTGGAAATAACTACAAATATGTCTACTTTTTGCAACATAAAGATTACGTTGTTAATATCATTTATTGTGTTGTACAAAATATACCTGACTTAAATTTAAAGAAATAAAATATCAAGATGTAGTATTTGAATTCTTCGTAAAATCATAATTGTTAATAAAATTATCTTAAATTAAAGTTATAATATAAAATTTATATTTCGTTTAAATTATATATATATTTTTTACATTTTATAAGTTTTTGCTCTCTTCTATTTTTGCCACTAGAAATTTCTATCTCGTTCAAATTAGTTATAAATTACAAGTTTATTTCAAATAATGAAAAGTATCAAATAATAACTTACCGATGAATATAATTCTCTCGATTCGAAGGTAAATCATAATTTATAACCAGCGACACCTGTTGCACATCTATGCCGCGTGCCAAAAGATCAGTGGTAATTAAAACTCTGGATGATCCAGTTCGGAATTGACGCATAATAAGATCGCGTTCCTTCTGTTCCATATCTCCATGCATGGCGGAAACAGTGAAATCACGTTTATGCATGCTCTCTGTCAGCCAATCTACTTTACGCCGTGTATTGCAGAAGATAACGGCCTGGGTAATGCTCAGTGTGTCATACAAATCGCAGAGGGTTTCCAACTTCCAGTCTTCACGTTCGACGTAAACAAAGAATTGTTTGATTCCCTCTAATGTAAGTTCCTCTTTTTTTACCAATATACGAATGGGATTCCGCATAAAACATTTCGATACATCCAATACGTCAGACGGCATTGTCGCAGATAATAATATAACCTGGAAAAGATAATTATATTTCGTTAGAAATATAAAGGCTGAAATTGTATTGCAAGGAACCGTGTCTCGATACAATGTAATGGTCAATATTACATGTCGATGAAAGAAATAAACTGCATTTACTGAGATGTTATACTGTACATGTGTGTGCAATATAATAGCATCATGCTGTAATAGGTACTGTAAATTGTTGTTGCTATTACAAAGATATTAAAGAGTGACTAATTGATTTTTAGGACATTATGATTATTATTAGGAGTGCTATGCCACAATAATTGTTTGCATTTAGGCCGCTATTATTCTCAAAAGATAACACATTTCATGATACAGAGCATATGTCAATCCAGTGTACATTTGTCAAAAAATGACACTATTACGACGCACCTGTATTTTATAATATATTTGTTAACTTGACTATTATAAGGTATACTGCAACTTTTTCGTCTTGTATGATTTGTGGACTTGTCCAAAAAAGATACTTTCTAATAATTAAAATAAAATCATCTATTAGATGGTAATTGCAATAAAAAAATCTACATTCCTGGAA